CGACGGAAGTTAAAATTTTTATAAGTAATGATCAACGCAATCAAATGCTGGGCATTTGATTCCATAGATTAGTCTGAGCACCTATATGCACTTGTATGTGTGGCTGAACGCCCTTTGGAGAAATCGGATTGACTATTGTACTAACTAAATAGTTTAAATTGAAATTAATCCTTTCAGAACTGATTTTATGTGTCTGGAATTTAAATACAACTAATGGCTTGATAACATGGTCTGCTAGTAAGCAGAAAGTTACAGCCGAATACGCAGAATATTTTAGAAAATGTGTTGTAATTAATGGGAAATTAGAAGAGGTGCTAATTCATAGAACCCAGACACCGTATACAGACACTTTTGAAATATTATGAATAAAGCGCTCGAGGTGTACAAGATAGTTACACTGCAAGATTGTAGTAAGGACGATCACAAGGTAAAATTTGATACACCTCGATCGAAAATAGTCGGTAAATATACGCGGTGAAGAGTTGTACATGAACGAATAGATCTGAAAGATTAAGGAATGCTAGTGATACAATGATGAGTTACAATCGATGACAAGCTGAATTATGAGCAAAATGGCTAATAGAACGGGCGGTTGATACGACAATGAAAAATGATTTGCAATACTTTGATGAAATTATGAGATTAATATAATAATCATATGACTATGAATACGATTTATGGATTTTAAGGTAAATGATGGTGATTTAGATGAGATGATTGCGCTGAGATCGCGGCTGATGGTTCCGTATACGTTAGTTCACGGAGAAAATGGGGATCCGCGTGTGCTCAATGCGACGTACAACGAACGACTCGCTTTTTGTTAATGCTACTCAAGATTTGGTAGATAATAATAGGAATAGGGTATGTGGTAGTAATATATTGCAAGTTCGTTCAGAAATTGATAGATATATATCAACCAGATATATAATTCGAATTTGGTACATAATTAAATTGAATTAACTTATGATTAAATGTTATAATGTCCTTTAAAGCGTTGGAGAAATAGTAAAATGGAACCAGGAAATCCAGTTCTTAAAGAAATGTAATAGAATAAAAAGTAATAGTAAAATTTGATGGGAGTACATATAACCCATAGTTGAGTTGCAATGTAGAGCACTTGAGGGTGAAGTAAAAATAGCATAGTACCATAAAGAATATGACTAGTTGGAGGCCGTAACTCCTTGTGTGCGCAAGCGGTGAATGCCTCATTGAGAAAATGACCAGTTGTTAAATATTTGATGTGTTTCAGTTGGAGACCGTAGTTCCTTGTGGCGGCAAGCGGTGGCTGAGTCTAATGAGAATCTGACCAGTTTGAGGCCGTAGCTCCTTGTGTGGGCAAGCGGTGGCTGAGTCTAATGAGAATTTGACCAGTTTGAGGCCGTAGCTCCTTGTGCGGGCAAGCGGTGGCTGAGTCTAATAAAATCCAGATCTGTTGAGACCGTAGCTCATAGTGGGCAAGCGGTGGCATTTTTTTAATGTTTTGTTTTAACAGGTATTTCACTAATTAGCTAGGCAGCCGTGTTTGCAGAGATGCTGACTAGTACCTGGTGTGAAAAATTAAGTGATACAACTTAAGGCGGGAAAATATAACAAAGACTGAAGTCATGATGTTGAAATGTAATGTGTAGTTGTCAGTGGCAACTTTCATATTTTAAGTATGTAAATTATCTCAAACTAAATTTTATATGATTTTAATTTTATTATATTACCCGATGTTAACTGTTATGATAATATCGAATGAGGCCCTTCGATAACGTTGGATGGCCGAAGTGGCTACGAATACCATCGATTAAATATAAAGTGAATAGTAGGCTTACTAAACTCACGTTCGTTTGACGAAAGTTAGTAATTCGTTTTATGGAAATTGAGTCTGTACTCAATTTGCCAGAAAAAGAAATCAAATGTGTCATAAAATATTTTCTTTGTAAAAAAAAAAAAAGAGGCTTATTATAGAATTGAAGAATTTATAAATGTCATCATTTATAAATCAGTGTTTTTTAGAAAATATCTAACTTGAAATTCATAGCGCTGTCAATGTTGTCTGATTGAACGGAGATTAAGTGCGTAGCGGTTTCTATGTTGATTGCCGCATGCCTAATCCTTGTTGTTAATTAAATATAAGTAAATCAATATTTATTTAAAAGAGCAACACACAGGGTTCTTGTTTGTTCTTCTTGTGATGAATCTGCGTTCCGAATGAGCGATAGATTAAAAAAACTTGACTACTCAAAAGTGCTTATATTAAGTTTATTTGAATAAAGATTATTTCTATTTCACATTAATCTGGAACATTGGGTTTTGGTTTATGTTAAACTGGTGTTGTAAAGAAAATTGAGATCAGTATCTACAATCATTTATAGTCCCCTAAATGTACAGGGTTCAAAGGGTGCAATAGATTACTTGACCAGTGAGCTGATGGTATTATTAAGTAAATCATAAATGAAATTCAATGAATTATGTTATATTAAAATAATTCTCTGGTAAATCAAGAGTATCGTCGAAGTAAAATAGTAGTAGTAGTATTGAGGGTATTAGAACCACTTGAATAATATTGACCTGTTATTTTCTATTGGTTAGGTGAAGGCAGGCAGCGATTTTGTTCTAATTTTATGTCACGAGAATATTACTTTCTCTTTATATTTTTTTTCTCTATATATGTAGGTAATTAAGTTTTACCTTTTGTAATGTGATATGTTAAATTTATCCGTTAAAATATTCATGATGAGAAATGTCAAGTTCTATTTTGGAGGTATAAAAAAAAAAATGCAATGTTCATAAGATCGGAAACTTACATTGTGATGGTGATATGTTACAGTCTGACTCATAGAAGGCAATCACCGCCAAATAATTGTTTGTTACTCTAAAAGGTTGTTCATGTTTTTGGGTGATTTGGATTATGTAAATTAATATATGTTATGTTATATTTTGTGCATTTCTGAATGCATGCCGAAACTTAGCTCTGTTAGTATTGATTTTAGATTGTAAACCTTGGACAGTATACTAAGATAGTCAATGTTATGAAAGTAATGTGTATCTTTAGTTTAGTTAGTTTAGTATTTGTTATATGATCCTGTAGACACTATATCCTTTGATAAGCATGACTACGCTCATAAGTTACCTATGTGTCTGGGCCAGACACTATTGCAGGATGGCCGACTGTTAACTATCGTGTGACGCACCATTAATTAAAAATGGTAAAGTCAATATCATGTAACCTGAAACGGAACGTCAGAGGCCAGAGCCAAAGTAATCTATGTGACATTGACAAGTGGATGACAGATGATTGAACGGAGGCAGCGGGAGTTTTGGAGCGAAAGTGTTGATATTATTATAAAAACAAATAAGAGATAGGTAATTGTGAATATTGTAGGCATTGAGGTGTTTCTCTCCCTGACTAACCGGCATTACGCCTAAGTCGTCAGAATACTAGTGATTTTAAAAATCTACAGGGCGGGCCGTCGCCGTCGGAGCTGGGGTAGAATGCACTTGCGAATCCCCTGGCTCCGGCATAGGCGCTCGTAGGTACACCGTGTGGTTTTTTAGTGGGTACAAGTCCCACACACCACCTCGCCATCCCGGCGGGGTGACGGTCTTTTGAAGATTTTTCCACACGTTAAAAAAAAAAAGGTGCGGTTCACCTCTACCGGGGTTCACGGTTGAATGTTTCGATCCCGTAACCCCGGCACCAAAGCGCTCGGAGGACACCAAAGGTTTTTAGCCGGTAGGAGTCCGACAGTACCCCACGCTTCCCCCGGGACGTGCGGGTCTCCATGACGGATTTCCCCTTTTAAAAAAAAAAGGTGCGTTTCACCTGGAAACCATCGTCATAAATTTTTGACGAATTTGTCCCGATGGAATAACTGATTTGACCTCATGTTCATCCTATCATCCTCCACTGGTGCCCCGCCAGCGTAAACCGTTAGCGCAGGGAGGTGCACTGTTCCATTCGATTCCTCGCACGGTGCAAACATTTGTATTCATGAGTATGATTATTTGTATCGGTCTGGGTGTTTTCTATATTGCCAATAACACAAGCTCTGCTTACCGTGGGACTAGATGGCGCTGTGTTAATTGTCCAGGATTATTTATTTATTTATGTAAATCTTGAACATCTATACATAAATAAAATTGTAGTGTCTGTTTGTAATATTGAAATAACCGTTTTTTACTACATACATATGAATATAAATACGGTATATACAACAAAATATCATTTTTTACAATTTTTTTGATAAGGAGTAACTTAGGCTACTTTTATTTTAGAAAAATAAAGTTAAATTCCACGCGGACGAAGTCGCGTGTACAACTAGTCATCAATATATTTCATCCGTTTTAGTGATGTAAGAACGAATATTAAACACTTCTATAAATAAAGTTCGCAATTTTGTAATACTTATGACCTTTCTCTTATACTTGGTTTATCTATTCCTATGAATAAAAGTAAGTGGGCAGTAAGGAAGTCAGAATATTATTACTAATGTTTAGAATATTATGACTTCCTTGCTAATATAAATGTGAAAGTAAGTTTGTTTTTCAATTTATGGTAACAAGGAAGAAGTCCTAAATTTGACTTTATTTTGTTCGTTATAACCTCGTCTGTTCTGATATTTGGGTGATTATTTTTGCATTTTCCTGCACTTTATTCCTATATTGAATTTAATAATATAATTATTATATCTTGGGACAATTCACACAGCGCCATCTAGTCCCGAGCTCAGCAATGTGTTATGGGTACTAGACCACTGATATAAATACTTAGATACATTTTTTTGTAAATACATAGAAAACACTCAGATTGTTATGAGCAGTCATACATATGAATACTAATGTTTGTACTAACCTATGGAAGTAAGGCGGTGCGCTAAACCGCTAGACCACAGAGATTGTAGACGGTTTGTACCTACTCATTTATGAAAAATGGTAGATGTCATTGATAAAATAAAGATGACACCAGTTGTCTATGAAAGGCATGATAAAGAAACAAATGTTACGGTGTCAAAATGTATTTATTTTTTTGTAAACAAAAATAAAAACTTAATATTATAAATTAAGCTAACCTTAAGATAACTTTATACAAGACATGAGCCGAACCCAGCGGGAAGCCACTTCGTGCTATAGGAGTCAACACGCAAGGATCTCTTGAGAGCTGACTCCGCAGACGACTGGCTCGCCGCTGGGGCAGAACCCGTGTTCGTGCATAGTCGCAAGCGTTGGCCTGGTGGTCACAACACGGCCGGACCGGCATCACCTACATTGTACGTGGCTGCCGGTCGATTGGTATACACATTCGAGCTGCCCAAAGGCGGTTGCAGACATGCCCGAATAACAAACATCCGAACTACGAAAGGTTGGGGGCGTTCGGAATCAAGTTATTTAACTTAGAAGGGGGCACCGTAGCTGCCGGATGGAGTGCGGGCTGGCGCTCCATACGATGATGAAGGTCCAGATGGGTAACCACCGGAGGAACCGCCGGACTGCTCGAATTGGGCGACTTGGATGGCCTGACGAACTCCCTCGAGGTTGATGCCTACAACGCGGGCTGATGGGACGCCGTAGCTGCTGGATGGGGCTCCATAAGACGAGGATGGTGCGCCGTAAGAAGAGGATGGAGCGCTGTGGCCACCACCGAATCCAGATCCGGAGGAAGAGGAAGATTCCTCTTTAAGGAGGATCTGGCGGACTTGTTCGAGGAGTTGAGGGTCGACGTTCTGGCCTTCGGATGTTTGGTAGCCGGAGGAGACGGCTCTGTAGCCACCGCCGCCGCTCAGGCCACCGCTGAAGCCACCACCGAAGCCGCCGCTGAAACCGCCGCCGCCACCGCCTGATGGGCGGTTGTAGCTGTAGCCGGATGGAGGCTCGGCGCTTGAGCACGCTACCAACGCGAGGGCTATGCACTGTTGAACAAATATCTAATTAGTTTTCAATAATATACTATAGATGAATAAAAAACAAAGGTTAATCATAAATTGACAAGTGCTTGTATTAGTATATAATCTAAATAGGGTTGACACAATTGGCACAAAAGAAGATATAATGCAAAAAGAAAAAGTATACTGTAAGAGGGTAAGAAAACAGAAAATTAAGAATTAATTAACATAGATAATAAGAAAATTTGGTATTCTACATAGAGTCACGATAGCTAGTTATAATTAAAGAAATAGAATAATTCTCTAAGCAATTAGGTGAGCAATTAGGTGAAGAAAAATTACAGTGGCATACAAGTAAAATAAAAAGCTGTTCTCTAGCATTATGAGTTAACGGCGATTAGCAACAGTTACTTCGCATGGTTTCAAAGTAATTATGAATGCCTGCTATCATTTGTCATTTTAGATCATCGTTGGACTTGAAAGCGTTTAAAAATCATTATTACCTAAATGATGCAAAATAAAGATTTCTTTGCTCATTTGAAGATTTTCCATTAAGACTGTTGGCTCTGTTGGGTAAGAAGGTTAACGACGTGTGGGACCTTTCCAACTATAGCCGAGACAAAAATTATAATAGTTATATAATTCTTAAATAAATAGCAAGATAATTTTAGAACTATTGCCCAAATGTATTTATGCAATTTCGACGTTCTTTAGATCTTGCGTATTCCAACATTAGTTATTTTTAATACGTCTTAACAGTTTTATGGTCCAACCATTCAAAATTGATAACCGCAGTCCATATTAATGGTAGTATTACCTTAATAAGTTATTAAGAGTTCATATCTAGTAAATTTTGTGCTATATCATAATCAGATTAAAACAGCCGAGACGAAGGAGTAGCACGATGACAAAAATTATAAATTATTTAAGTAAACTGAATATAAAGATAATTAGAATGATGTAATTCTTTCTATGATATCTACATACATCAATATATTATCCCAATAAAGCAAATTTATATAATAACTTGCTCCGACTATACCAAAATAGATTATACTAAATGATTATCGTAACTTTGCTGGCAGTTTGTTCTAAAGTAAATTTTATTGTAATTAGTAATAGAGAAGCATTTGTAATACCATATAGTTGTGCAAATACGAGATATTTCGCAGAAGATATTAAAATACATATATTTGTCAATGATATATTTACACACGACAATATTACAAATGTGATTGACGTCTTTATAAACGAACGTAAAGATGTTTGCAATATGAATTAGTATTTACGATTTACAAATACTAACTACTACTATACAAACTGATTACATCATTGATGTAATAGTGCCATTACTAGTTTTTACAACAAATATAACGATTTCATTAGCTAATACAACGTATTACGATAGTAGAGGTTTTTACGTTTAGCTTCATGATGTTTTACCTCAAGATTATTTAAGAAATAAGCTTTTAGGTACAAATTACAATTATTTAAGCGTATTTATTGATGAAGTTGATGGTTGTTGATATTCAGAAGCAGTAAATCTTATTGAATATATTTTGCTTACTGTACTAAGCAATCTTCTAAATCATTAGACAAGTGACGCATTTAAAAACATTTTTGTTTAATATTTTTTAATTTTGATTTATGATTCAATTCGTATCTCAAATTCACAGTGTTTCTATCTACCATACTTAGGCTTTTTAATATGTATACAAATAAAAATGTAAAATTCATATTGAAGAAAATGGAAGCACTATTACGATCATTCAATATTAGATCCACGCATATTTAAATGAACAGTAGTTTAGCATATGCTATCGAATTGCATTTACACGTTTGAGCTGACGTAGAAATGGGATCTTATGACTACGTTAACAGGCATTGTTCGCTTTCCATTTTGAACACAGTGTTCGCTAATGCATTCGCATCTCAGTATTAAAATATATGTAAATACAATGTTATTCAATAAGTTGCGTCAACATTATTGGCCGACTGATTCTCTGTTTTTCTAACACTTGAAGTTAATTGAAAGTGAAATTTGTTTACGCTCAATATTCGGGTCAAGAGGCATGGTAACGTTCATAATAATTATATGTCTAGTGTGTATAATGACGTGTGGCTTTTGAATTGCATGATACGATCATTTATATTTTGTAATCTTGACACGGTGTATGGTTAAGTGTTGATTTGGAAAAATAATGGTCAATTTAATTTATATTTTGCAATTTTTCTATAGTACCATCAATAATCTGTGCAAGAATGCTAACGCGACCCATAGGTTTTGTAACATGTATTTTTGGAGGTTAATAATTTCACACTTCCTTCTTCTACTTCGTCTTCCTTGCAAAGTAGATAGTCGTCCCAAAGAATTATACACACGTCAAAAAATTGAATAATTGGTTCCAAAAATGCTTTTTGCTTTTATATTTTTTCTTTGCAATTTGGCAAGCGCAGATTATTAAGTGCTCTTACAAGATGGTAGTCATCTGTCAATGAGTCAATTTCTTGTTGGTTCATTTCTATGATATTTGTAATAGTTGTGTACATATATATTTATGACTATTCAAGTACTTTACATTATCGATGGTGTCATATGAGTGTGCTAATGGTCTTAAGTACCTGTATAGCAATATTAAATTACTCTCAGTTGAAGCTACTTCCTGAACTGGTAAAAAAGATAATTGAAAAATTACGCAAGTATCGTTATTGTTTTTATAGAGCTCATGGTTTTGTAGTTTAGTTACTCGTAAATTGAATGAGGTTACTCATTGGTCATAGTGCGTAATTATATATCGGAGGAGTTTGTTAATAATAGGGAATAGTGGTTTTATTGTAGCAATGTACTATGTTAGGTCAACCTTTACGATCATCTCTGGAAATTTCTTGTTCATTTGTCAACTTGTCTGTATTGTCATTTGGGCTAACTGATCTGACTTTATGCTCATTTTACCATCTCCTACTGGTAGCAGCGTATATCGTTCAAATTCAAATTCAAATTCAAAATATCTTTATTCATGTAGGTCTATTACAGACTCTTGTGATATGTCAAATCTACCGTCAGTTCGGAATGATTTCGAGATGAGAAGAACTGACAAGAAACTCAGCTTTACATGCCATAAAAAGCCCTTTGCGTAACTGATAAACATTTTTATTATGAAACATAAAAACAACGAAATCTCCATAGTGAATTTTAATAGACAAAGCTGTAAAGTATTAGATAGACAATAGTGATTAGGTGTTAAGCGAAAGTGAGGTCGCAGTTCGAAGGGATTGCATAACGGAGGCTGGAAGATCACGCTATAATCGGCTTACGATTCCGTGAGAGTGATCTTTGACATCTTGTGATGTACGAATTGTTAGAACCGTAATAGGGTATGATATTCGTGTTTTGGGGTATTGGAACATTATTTTTAAAACGAACAAACACATCGCCATGATTGTTATTCCGGATGGGGTAGACATTGTCAATTATCAGCATTGTTTGAAAACTTATTTATTATTTTTCACTTTGTTTTTTATAAAATGGAATATTTTTATTAATATTATGAATGCAAAAGTTTGTGAGTATGGATGGATAGACGGACGGACTGATTTCGATGAAACTTTACAGTAATATACCTTAAACATCGGCATAACATATAGACGATAAATGTTATGCGGTTGAAACTGTGGGCGCAGCTTACTAATAATATTGGAAGCAATATTATTATATTAGTACTGATTAATATATCAAGTTAAACAATATATATACTTCGTTAAGTAACGGTTAAAGTTATAGACTCTCCATCTTAACTTTAATGGCCACATAAAATAAGTATTAAGTGGATACAAGAAAATGTCAGATTACGATTTTGTGCAAATACATTTACGCAAAGTTCAGACTAGCGAGCACTTTGACATGCAACTGTTACGTCACAAGATGGCCCCGCTTCCGCCATTCTGCGCCGGAACTCACGCAATTCCCATTATAAATTTCAACTTTGATCTCATGATTGTACTGAGGTCTACTATCTTTGACATTATTATAACATCATCTTAAAAAACCTTATAGTCTAGCGGTTGAACTGACTTAACTTAATAGAGGCGGGTTCGAATCCCGTACAATATAAACACATGTATTTGTGATTATGTCTGTTTGTATTTATGTGTCTATTTTTCTATGTTTTATATCAGTTATTAAGTACTCATAATACAAGTCCTGGTTAGTTTTATAAATACTAGATGGCGCTGTCAGAATTGTCATAAAATTTTATATGAATACAAGTAAATAATGATAAAGCAAATTCTAATCATATTTTAACAGGATGGATGTATTGTATGAAAGGTATTATGCATAAAAGTAGAGTAAGATACGACGGCGAATAGGGATCAATGGAAGATGATATACGCCGTCTCCAAATAACAGGATGAAGGTAAGGCAATGAGAACAGTTTGGACGAACGAAATAACTAATGTAACTAAATAACGACTATTTCGTTATTTATGCAACGAAACCGAATCTGCATTAAGTACTATTTACATCAACAAGTAATACGTTATTTGATGACCCATCGATTCGCAATTTGATCGTACAAGATCGATTGCAATTACGTTTTCATAATCATTTCGAGTTGAATTACCAGCTACCGTTGTTTTCATCACTGTACCTCGCAATTTTGAGTGCATATTTGTAGTAGCGTAGTTGCTTAGTATTTTCGTAATATGGTAATCAATAAATGCTAATCATCATTTGATGGGGTCCTGCTGTCTTGTGACACTGAATTATGGTGTTCTTCTTAGTATTTTGATATCACATGAGGGAAGGGATTATTAGTTATGGGAAATGGGTGACCCCATTGCTAACATTGTATTATTTCCGATCGATCTCTACCGTGGTCTTCCTGGAAACCGTTTTTGTTTTCTTATCATGATGGGCTTGCGGTCAGGTACCTAAACTCATGCTTTTACTATTATCGACTGATGCCCTGCCAGCGTATAGGTACAGTTAGTGAAATTGTATTGTATAGTTCTGTTAGCATCTATTAAATAATGAAGTTTTGTTTATAATAACCTATAATTACATTTCTTTTATTCTGTGGACAAAACTTCCAAGGAGTTAAAACTTCCTAGTCAAGTTCCCGTCAAGTGAGGCCGTTGTACGATTTAGGATAAAATACTTCATGGTTTGTGTGAGGTGATATCCCATGCCTATGTCGTTGGTATTCTACTATGCACATAATCGCCAATTAAATATTTTTTAACGATTTTAGAAATCGATTCTCACTGGTTCGTGTTTAGAATCGTTCAGTTATGTCATTATATCGATTTAGAATGATAAATAGTCGTTATTCTTTCTTTATAGTCGATATTCTAGTCACATCACTTTGATGATGTGATATACGACTAGTTTGAGAACAATAAGTAATGCATTTTCATTTAGCACTTTTACGTGTATACTTAGATGTGACGTGTGTACATAGAAGCGATCTCTATTTAAATTAATATCTTTTTTAGATGGCATTTACGGGACTGGCAGGTAGAAATGTGGTTTATTAATCTGTATTCATCCTTAGTAATTAAAAAAATAGACGTCAAATGGAGATGGTATTCTATTTTTCTTATTTTTTTTTGTTTATGGTTCGCTATCTCTATTCTTCCTTAATATTAAAAAAAAGTCTTCAATAGAAGATGGCAGCCTATTTTTTATTTATTGTTTATGGTTACGATTCTCAATTTGATAACCGGATTTTGCGGATACAAACGTTTACGGTTATTCAAGATTTTCTAGTACATCTAATTTATTAATTTATCTGTAACTATAATTTTTAACAGTTCATCTATCACAATGATTATTATTGACGTTAAAAATTATTTAAGTTATCTAAATCTGTCATTTAGAAAGTTCTAGATTTATATTCTAACATCCTGTTGATATTATGTGATTAGAAAATTATTACTGATAACGTGGGCAAAAGTGGAAAGCCGTGTTTTATACAAATTAGTATAATCTAGAATCTTATGTAATATATAAATCAATATACGGAATGCAGCTCAGAAAGCTGTGAATAATGAATTTTTATATAATTTATTAAAATTCATAACGACATATTAGATAGCGGAAAAGTGAGGTATTGTCCGGTAAGGGGAGCTATGGCAGTGAAATTACAGGGTATTGGGTTTGACAACTTAGTTCTCAGATTAACAACTCATGAGGAGTATCACATGATGATAATGAACAAACTGCCATAGTCAATCTACCAGAAAGAATGCCTTGAAACACTTTCTTTTTAATTTTTGTTAAGGTAGCTAAAGCTTGTGTTATGGGTACTAAATAACTGATGCAAATACATAGTTTTATATGTTTTCGTAAATACATACATATTATTGACGACCTCAGTGGTCTAGCGGTCTAGCACACCGCTTTACGTCCGATGGTCGGTTCGATTCCTCGCACGGCACAAACATTTGTATTCATGAGAATGATTGTTTGTATCGGTCTGGGTGTTTTCTATGTATATTATGTATGTATTTACGAAAAAAAAATTATCTATGTATTTGTATTAGTTATCTAGTACCCATAACACAAGCTTTAGCTAGCTTAACTTGGGTCTAGATGGCGCTGTGTGAATTGTCCCGAGATTATTATTATTATGATTACAGAAAACATCCAGATCTATACATATAATCACACTCATGATGATATGTTTGTACCGTGCAAGGAATCGAACCCGCGACCATCGGAAGTGAGGCGGTGTGCTAAAGCGCTAGACCACCGAGGCCGTCAGGTTAGAAGTATTGCAAGATATGGGGGTATTGGGTAGTCATGACGACCTATGACCGGGGATACTGTTGCGTAAGCGAGCCGAGGATGCGCCTGCGGCTTTCGTAATGATTATAATTGGTGTCACGTAATTTATTAGTACTACGACCCCTTGTTAGTAAGTTTACTATCTAATTCTCATATCTATACATATAAAATTGGTGTGTCTGTTTGTAATATTGAAATAACCATTTTTTACTACATGCATATGAATATAAATACGTTGCATATACCAAAATAACATTTTTTACAATTTTTGTCTATCTGTCTGTTTGTTCCGGCTAATCTCTGAAATGGCTGGACCGATTTTGACGGGACTTTTTTTAGCAGATAGCTGATGTAATAAGGAGTAACTTAAGCTACCATTATTTTAGAAAAATTCTGTTATTTTAGAAAAATAAAGTTATATTCACGCGGACGAAGTCGCGGGTCACACGATATAGACTTGCGTGTCTAGTGTGTGTTTCGCTGTAATATATTAAATGTAAAAGTGTTAATTATTATTATTTACTTTTATACATGATGGCCTCGGTGGTCCAGCGGTTTAACACGGCACTTTACTACCGAGGGTCGGGAGTTCGGTTTGAAATGTGATGAGTTATATCCCGGGAGTTTTTTTATGTATAACATATAAGTTGTCTAGCATGGATAATACAAGCTCTGCTTAGCTTGGGACTGTGAATTGGCTTTTAATATTTTGTATTTCTACGACAGGGATAAAAATGAATATAAAAAACTTGACTAAAATGTTCTACTTGAAGAAATTATATTTGATTTTGATAAAATACTTTTTTTTATGTAGAATCAACATCTAAATAAGCCATCCGGATTATATTAGTTATTGAAATATAATTATAGGTTTATACTGTAAAAAAGAATATTTTTAGCGTCAGTTGTTAACTATGTGCTGGATTAATTATTAATTTCTTCAGTCAGTCAGTCAGAATAGTTTTAAAAAATAAATTAAATTTACTTATACTTCAATTCAAAATATTACAAATTTTAATTCAATTCAAAATTAAAATTCGAAAACATGCAAATTATTAAGGAAATTATTTTTTTTATTTTTGGAGACACGGCCTGTGTTTATTATTCAGTAACGACCAATAGAATGTACCTACATATATTGAAAACAATGAAGTGTGTGAGTGAGACAAAAAATCTAAATAAAATTAACATACTACGTGAAATCTAAAATTTGAACCGTAGAAAGTTAGTATTAAGCATAGATTTAAAATTTGAGCTGTCTTGGAAACTATAAATTTTTAATTCCTTTTGGGTCCTCTCTAATATACCTTTAGGGAAATTTACGTGAAGACAGATCTATTTGACATAAATAGGTCATTTGATAATCGAATAAAACTAATACGATTCCAATAGAATTGCGAGGAATTGATTTTAGGTACTTCCAATTCGTCCAAAATTGCGGAATCCAATCCAATAACGATTTACACTAATCAATTGAAATGACATTCCGAAATCAATTTTAGTAGTGCATTTAAAAAGAAACATATTACTCTATGGTATAAAACACACAATGTCACAAAAACGCGGGAATGCACTGTCATTTTTGATTTCCGAACGCCACAAGCACTTGTCACTTTTTTTTTATTAATCACACAAGCACAGTCACTTCACTGGACTTACCGCAACGAAGGCTTTCATGTTGCTTAGTGATGGGTCACTGCGGGTCGTAGTGAGGTAATGTGATGTTCATGGTTCTATCAGGTGCTATATACCTAACTACAGTCCGCGGTGGGGCAGAGAAAGGATAGGATAGGTTGTGCAAGCCGGGGAGATGCTTCGTATAGGAAGTTCTGTCTAATTGGAGGGCATCATGCGATTTTTTCGGTTTTTTTTTTTTCAGATTGATAGTTGATAAGGTCAAAGGTATTTTTTTTTGTTGGGCAATTGAAGTTTTATTTCGCATGGTAACTGGCACGTATTAACGCAGTCAGTTTACGCATGATATGCAATCGTATTGGTTTCTGTCAGTAAATAATTGACAATGTGTAATATCAATTTGAGTGGTTAATTAAAGACTGATGCAGAACATGACTACAGAACATTATCTGCGCAATTTGCGTGTCAACTTAGACATATAAAAAAAAAGTTGTAACTTATGGTATAATTGGTTGTTTAGTATACTTTATGACTTATTGGTACATTAATAATAATAATAATAATAATCTCAGGACAATTCACACAGCGCCATCTAGACCCAAGTTAAGCTAGCTAAAGCTTGTGTTATGGGTACTAGATAACTGATACAATTACATAGATTTTTTTTTTAAATACATTATTATACATAGAAAACACCCAGACCGAAACAAATAATCATACTCATAATACAAATGTTTGTGCCGTGCGAGGAATCGAACCCGCGACCATCGGACGTAAATCGGTGTGCTAGACCGCTAGACCACCGAGGTCGTCTTTCGTCATTGTTACTTAATATATATTATGAATTTACTAATCCCTATAACTGCGTTAATATATCAAACATAGTAATCTTAACAAAATTTTTATGTCGATAAAAAAGGAATCATCGTAAATTGCTAAGAATTTGCGAATGTATGATGTAACATACATATTTATGTAATACTACCCGTTACCCGCGACTTCGTTTATTTTTTTGTGTAAAATATAGCCTCTATGTCCGTCCTATCGATACAATCTATCTTTATATCAAATTGCATTCATATTTAGTCACATTCGGACACAATTTAGTTTTTTTTTATTATATAAAATGAGCTAGATGTATAATTGTATATACTTTTTTTTAATGGATGATAATGGAATGGTGCACCCGCCTGAGCTATCGGCTGGTTTACGCTAGCGGGGCACCAGTGGAGGATGATAAGTGTGCGGTCAGGACATCACGATGGTTTCCAGGGGGAACCGCGTGGAGGTCAACCTGACTTGGTACATTGCTAGCGATGGAGTAATTAGTTAATAATGATTTGTATATATATTTAATTATAATCGTGGCACAACTTAAGAAAATAAATAATGTACGTAAGGAGTGTACATAGTAGAATTATTTTCTCAAATTTTATATCCATTTATAATATACTAACTCAGCCCGCGGTTTCGCACGCGCGAAATTTTTAGCCTACTAGCTGCGCCCGTGACTTCGTCCGCGTAAAATGACGATACTTCCATAGAACCTTTCATATTCCCTTTCAACCCCTTGCAACCCTTTTTTCACATTAAAAAGTAGCCTATGTCCTTTGTCAGGGTCTAGACTATCTGTGTACCAAATTTCATTTAAATCGGTTCAGTGGTTTAGGCGTGAAAGCGAGACAGACAGACAGACAGACAGACAGAGTTACTTTCGCATTTATAATATTAGTACGGATTTGTTATTCGACAGGATCATCGCAATGCAGCGTTAGTTCGACAAATTATACCCTCTTTGTAAAAAAACCTAAAACCACCTTCAGTTTTTAATGTTGGTTAAAAAAAGACCATTGTAGGTAGGTACTTGTTTACTTTTGGGCTTGTCTCAGCTGGGTGATAATTGATCATGTTGACTTCACAGTATGGTACTAAAGCAAGCTATGGTGATCTAATGGTAAGAAATTACACAAAGTGTGATAATTTCGATATAAAATGGATATTCCAGTCGAATAGAAAAGAGCGCCGGTCAAGTAGTCTGGTGGTTACGATGGTCGCAAGTTCGATTCCTCGCACGGTACAAACGTTTGTATATATGGGCATGATTGTTATGTATTGATCTGAGTGATTAGTTGTTTACTATGTATCTATGTATTTATAAAAAATGTGTGTGTATTTATATCAGTTATACTAATAACACAAGCTCTGCTTAGCTTGATTGTAGACTACATGTTATATATTTGTTATGATATGATATATATACATATGTTTTAAATTCAATCAAATTTATTTTAGACTAGGTGTTATCTTCAACTTCGTCCGCGTGGAAATTAACTATTATTTTTTTGTTGAAATTAATACAATGCCAATAAAAGATGGTAGGATCGCATTTTGTTTCTGTGGATTAATGTATACCTTGCGAAATAGGATATTATTCAAATAAACTTACATCTAACTTTTGATTAAACATTACTTAATTTCATAATCTACCGCTCATTCGGAAAGCTGTCTCATCACAAGAAGAACGTGCAAGAAACTTGTGTGTTGCTCTTTTAAATAATTTTATTGGTATTTTACATTTTTAAGCTGGAATGTGTATAAGCAAACTACTACCAACTAGGCTTAATTCATTAGAGTTAAAAATGCATGTAAAGTTGAGAGTAAAATTTCTTTCAAGCGAACATTGTCTCAACTTATAACTTTTTGGTTGTAATATATGTAATATTATAATTCATATATTTTTTTGCTTTGTCCATAAGTCTCTTTATTTTACTTCGATGCTAAACATATACACATATCTACTACAACGTTGTAATATGTTTTACTGTCGCTGTAATCACTATTTTATTGCCAGCTTATTAGTGTTGCTTTTGTATGTATGTATATTTCTGTATGTTATATAAAAATTAATAAAAAATATATATTATTAATATTATTTGCATCGCCAACAACTTTTCTTTGCACAACCAATGGTTGATTCATAGAAAATGCCACTAGGCTTTAAGTCAGCCATATGTTCCTATTAAGTCTGTATTACGTTCATTAAATGTATATAAATAAAATAAAAAAACATCCATTACCCCATTTGGACTACCAATCGAGAGGGTATGTTTGTTTGTTTTTATTATAGTTCTAAGAAAGTCTATAATCCACAATGACAAGTATTTCATGCAGTCACTGTGGCGCCATAATCTGATTATTACGGTCTCGTTGTTGGTATAATGACGTCGATTGTTTTTTATTAATGTTAATGGAATACTTCACCCGTCTGTGCTAACGGTTTACGCTGGCGCAGCACCAGTGGGGGATGTTAAGATGATCATGACGTCATTTCAATGAGCCCATCGTGACAAATTCACCAGGAATATATCGGGATAGTTTCCAGGGGGACGCGTGAGGTCAACCTCTCTCTCTCTCTCTTTAAGCATAAAGTAGCCCACTGCTAGACATATTTTGCATTTTTTTATGGATGATAATAGAATGGTGTACCCGCCTGCACTAACGGTTTACGCTGGCGGGGCACCAGTGGAGGATGATAAGATGGACATGAGGTCGGTTCAGTTAGCCCATCGTGGCGAATTCACCACAAATTTATTACTTCCAGGTGGTTTCAACCTCTCTCTCTCTCAGCAGGAATGCTGTGCCTCTTGCATAATCCACTTTGTTCTATCCTCTCTCTCTCTAATATGGTACAGCAATAAACAGACCGTAGTCTTTTACCACAATGACGTGTATATTTTTTTATAACACAGGGGACAAACGAGCATGCGGCTCACCTGATGGTAAATGATTACCTCATTGCATAATCAACCTTTTAAGCCAAGGTTTCAATATCGTCAATCTGATATGTAGAAAAAAAATACGTTTTATTAGCAAATGGTAGTCATTGAAAGAAAATTGTTGTTTTTTTAATGGTTGATACTATAATAGTATGGTGCACGTGCTCTAGGGGGCCTGAATGTCAGAATGAAGCATGACGTCAGGTCAGGTCTGACAAGGCACTATCATCATACTTTAAAAATATATATAAATACATATTATTTTCCTTCTTCCTTACATCTATTGTAAAGTATTTCTTCATTTGCATATCACTAATATGTTCCATAATTACAAGCGTTACTCTATGGTAGATTTAAAAAAAAATACCATTAATAACAAGGCCGCCTTATTGTAGTGTGTAAATTTCTCTTTTCTCTATAATGTAAATAAATGTATGTTTTATCTATGTATCTATAAATATATAGCAATACAGTCGAACCACTAAAACCAATCCTTTTAATAAATACTAATATTCGATTGTTTGCGGATCGAACCCGCGACCATCGGAAGTAAGCTGCAAACCGCTGTACCACCGAGATCGTCGGAATATAATGGAAATATACTGAATATCTAAGTGTAATGAGTTCGCGTAATAATAAAATGTTACATTATATAAGTAATATTAACCAACTTGCTTCTCCCAGCAATCCACGACCCATGACCGTATGCATAACTACGCAACTATAAACTCAGTCTTCCTAATAAATGGTTAACATTATAGTAACCATCAGGAAAATATATAAAATATTTATTTTGATATAACGAAATAGTAGAAATATAGAAAAAAAAATTCTAATAAACTTAATATAAGTATAATAATAGTTAATAATAACTAGTGTCAAGATCAAATCTGCAGATTTTGGCAAACTGAAGAGGAATCGCCACTACACATCCTATGTGGTTGTAGCCCACTCATGCATAAACGAAATATCTCCTTTGGAAAGTTTACACTTTTTCCTGAGGTGATAAAAACCATCGCTCCTAAGAATATCCTTCAATTCTTGTCCTGACGGGTGTAGGTAGCGAACTTTGAAAAGGGCGAGCACAATAGATCTATGTAGGTCGCAGTGCTACAGGTCCATGCACCTGACAATAGCTCAAACAGCACAATAAAAAAAAGCAACAAGCCATTACAACTTCACCCACTTGCTTTCATACTTCTTCAGAAAGCTAATTCTAAACACATGTAGAAAAGTCCGCAATTTTTTTGTCAAAATAATCATTTCTTTTAAGGTCATCTGTTTAAAAAATCTTCAA